GAAGAACAACCTTAATCGGTCTGATAACGACACTTTAGTTAGCTAGTTTGAATGCCTGGTACATGATATCAGATTCTCGCAGAGCGAGGCTCTCTCGTGATCTTCAGCGTCTCGAGGTGAAAGAAAAAGTTGTGTGCAGGAGATCCGTTTTTCAACTCATGATTATGAGGACATTCTGTCTATGGAGTGTATTCTTTGTTCAGCATGTTTTAATGTTCGCTCGAGTGAAGTTTTCTGGCTGGCAAGCAAGTCTGTGAACGCGGTTTGTACTCTTGTCTTCGCAGATCCGGCGGGCTGGCTTTCGGCGCTGGATGTTACTATAAAGGATAAGGCTCTTCGTCTCATTGGGGTTTATCCGCCCAATGACCATTCTGAGCGGACTGATTTGTTTCCGCAGATCAAGCCATTTTTGACGACATCTCGTCGGTTAATTTTAGTGGGCGATTGCAATGACATCCTTGACCCCGATATAGGTCGTATAGTTCCCAGATCGGGTACTAACAACCGAGATGTGAAACTATTTCGAGTTTTTGTCTATAGGTACCGAAATGAAGACCCTTGAGAGGTAGTGTGAACTTGGACAAATACCCCGTTCTATCTACCCCGACCGAATCTTAGTTAGGAGAGTCGATGTAGAGCTCCTAGGGTGTACAGATTTCTATTATATAATTTAATCGGATCATAGGCTCGTCCGGGTTCGTGTAAATGCATAAGGTCAAAATGTCTGGCTACTGGGAATTGAACTCATCATTATTTGGTGAGCAAGTTTTCCAGGACCAGCAACTACAGATACTGGAGCGGGAACTAACGGGTGGCTCTGGCTGGGAATACGTGATGGGATAAATTAAAATTTAAAATCAGGTCGTTTGCTGCAAAATATAGTCGTCGGCTCAATCTATATAGATTAGCGGCGCATACTACATGTAAAAAAAAAAGTCGATCGTGCAGTAAAATTCCGTGACAGATGGGACGTAGCTTTAGCTAAGGCAGAGTTGGCCTCCTTGCTTATGAAGAAGGATCAAGCTCTGGTGGTTAAGGTTGGGTTAAAAAGAATCTCTTCCGAGGCAACAAATATGGTTGCTGAATTGCTTGCAGAGAAAGTTAGGAATGTTTTTTGTCAACATAACGCGTGCGTCACATTCCTGGATAATCCGACCGTGATTACAAACGTGGGCTTACGTGAGGATTTTTGTGACTACTTCCAGGATCTGTTCACCAGGAATCCCGGTCTGAGCACTACTCAGTTCGACATCTGTTTAGCTGGGCTTTCCTGTCTTGAGGTAGCAGACGAGAATGGATGCGAGGGTCCCATCAAAGACTCGGAATTCGAAGATGCGCCGACGTAGTTTGGCCGGGACAAATCTCCGGGTTTGGAAGAAGTCTCCTGTTTTCGTTCCCTTGCTGGCAATGATTTTCAATATCTGGGCGGAAGCAGAAGTGTATACCTCAACGGTTCACCAGGAATGTGAGCAACAAATCAACAAGTCGCCCTTGCATGGAGTATTGCTTCCATATATGGTCTGGTGCCCCTTCTGTTTGCCTCGGGGTTCTTGATAGGCTCCAGAGGCGGACATGCAATGTAGTTGGCCCTGCCCTGGCGTCTCGTCTACAGTCACTTTCTCACAGACGCGCCGTCGCCTCCCTCTGTCTGTTCTACAAATACTTTCATGGAAATTGCTCCGAGGAGCTGCATTCGCTGGTTCCCAGACGTCATGAGTCCCAGCGCCTTACGAGGCTGGCATCCCGCTCTCACCACTTCACTGTCGAAACTCCTAAATGTAGCCGTCTCTTCTACTCTAATAGCTTCATGTCCCGCACCTCTCGCCTGTGGAACTCCCTTCCCTATTCCTGTTTCCCTGTGAGCTATAATCTCCAGCTATTCAAGCGTAATGTCAATCGACATCTCCAGTTGCCTTGATCTGTCCACTACCCTCATCCTTTCTTCTATCACTCCTATCTGATCTTGCTCTAAACTTTAGTAACTTCTTGCGTCCTAGTGGCTTCCCGCCTTGCTTGGGGTGAAATGATTAAAAAAAAAAAAAAGAAAAGTTACTTCGCAAGGACAAAAACGGATTGAATAGGTAACTTTCGGCCTTTAACGTTGTTAAATACAGAGTTAAAGATTTTAACAAAGAACTTAGACAACAGTTTACAGGCTGTCCTCTCTAGTCTGAATAGCCCTGAACAGACTGTGAAGAGCAGGACTATTCAGGACAACTTTCATATGGTACGCTTGATCATCGAGCAAGTTGTCAGTTAATCCGCGCTGATCAATTTAGATCAGTCCACGGCATTCGATAGGTTAGACAATCGATTTTTGGATGCTGTCTTTTCGGCGGCCGATTTTGGGGCGTACATTCGCTCCTGGATCCAACTTCTTGGTGCGTCCCTCCGGTGCATTGGTGGAAGTGAATGGGATTCGATCGGAGCCTTTCGTATTGTTTCGCTCCATTCATCGAGGTTGTCCGATTTCGCCTTTGCTTTACGTTCTTGCTTTGGAACCATTCCTTCGCAAGTTAAAGAGGAATCCAGTCAAACGCGAAATTTCTCTACCTGGAGCTACAAGCTCAACCAGGTATTCCGCCTATGCTAACTACATTTCGGTTCTTGTGTCGAGCAGAGCCGAAATTGACAACAAAGAAACCAGAGGGTATGAGACGGGGACATGGGCCAAGATCAACCGCGATAAGTCTGTTGGCTTACGGTTGGGTACGTGGTAGACAGTTTCTCTTCCTGGATCTTTCCTCTGGACGGACGGGCCGGTCAAGATACTCGTCGTCTGGTTTGGTCCCGATCTCTTGCTGGAAATGAAATGGTCGAATGTGCAGGAGAAAGCGGAGGTCGAAATTCGACTGTGCTCCCCGAGGAATATTTTCTTAAAGGGGAGGGTGGTAGTATATATCTCAAACATCTACCCGATTCTCCTTTACCGACTGTCTGTAATTCTACATCCATCTAGCACACAAATCTCATTAGTAAGGCTCTTGTTCTCATTCTTATAAACAGGTAAGTCTGCTAAGGTACCTCGGGAGATCTGTTACCTCCACCCTTCTGAAAGCGGTCTGGTTTTACTTAGCGTTGAGGCTCGCCATCATACGCTTCGCATCGCGTTCGGAGATCGAATGAGTCGCGAATCGGATGAGGAGGGCGAATTCTGAAAGGAAGACGACCGTAAGAATTTTCATCCTTGAAAAAATGTGCACTCGTGCGAGGAGGAGGCCCGCAGTTTATCGTGAGGCGAGTTCTCATTCTATCGTGAATGTTGTATTGCTCTGAAGCACCGCTTATGGGCGTCGGATAGCCTCTCCAACGGCCAGGCGTTGTCTTGAAGGGCATTATATCATGTATTAGTTAGGTGATCCGTAGAGATGATCTGATTAACGAACTCGGTCTTACGGAGCAGGAGCCACATTTGCATTAATATAATATGATCTAGAAGAGTCGCTTTTCCCGAAGAGTTTCATTAAGTGATTTCATAAGAAACAGTGAATCAAACCGAAAAATCCGCCAGAAACATAATAACTCCTCAATTTCTAAAGAAAATCAACTGCCTTCAAATGCCTTCACGATATCCAAAGAAACAGCAGGAGTTTCACCATTCTTATCGAAAGCTTAAGCGATACTTTCAGCAATAACATGTCATATATCAGCAGTAGACTTAGAGAAGAGAAAACAGTATTGTTTGCCTAAAATAATATGTTGTTGTGAGATGCTTAACAAATTCAGAGTTGATTAGAGATTGTTGAACTTTGACAATAACAGGAACTCTATAAGAGGATTTCCAACAAGCTGGAAAGCTATAAAGAATAAGATACTTTTTGTAGCATTGTGAGAAACCAGGTGCCAGATGAGGAATGAAGTTGAATGGATTCCAACGATTCCCCATTCTTTGTTTTTATCAAGTTTCAGTATTATAACAGAGACTATAACTGATGTTATAGAGACTTAGTTTCAGTTTGAAATTCAGGTAAAAACACTCCAGACGTATCCAGAATATAATTAGAAGTGAACAAGGATCGCCAGTAGTCCCAAGAACCAAATATGTTGGAGGCTATAAGTTGCTTCATTTTATCAGCAAATAAATACTTAACAGCATCGATGACACATTTGCTACTATTACAAGCAGATACAAAGATGTGTCTGTTGGGATCAGAGATATCATGCTGGTATAGCCGGAAAAGGCTATTCCTGGGCGCTCTGGCTTTACGGTTTGGTGCGAAATAGGGGAGAAAATTCCGGTTTTATCTGGTATTTAAATGATGTCACAGAAGCATCGATGCCGGTTATACACAAGAAGAAATCTGTGTCATAAATTCCAGTGGGAAGATTAAGTTTTCACTTGAAGTGTCGTCTCGAATCAAATCGCGAAAAGAAAGCCCAATTAGTAGTTTCATTGCAGTAGAAAGTCCTGTGAGTTGGGAGCTCCTCTCTAATAGAAGATTCAAATGAGATATCAACAGACTTTGCAGCGCGATCAAAATTGCCAGGCGGCTAGATTAGCTATGCTCGAAAAAAAAATAAAGAAAAAAAGAGAGGCATGGAGCAGATCGAATAAAATAGAATATTTTTAGGAATTATTATGGAAGCAAGAACGGAATTATATTTCGCTGAAATACTGCGCAAATAAAATATTGCCTGGATACCAGCAAGATCATTAGTATGCGAATTATTAAGTCAGTTGACAAGATGTAGATTAAATCATCAAAGAGGTTTTCTAATAAATGTTGAATGAGAGAGAGAGAGAGAGAGAGAGAGAGCATCTTCTATAGTTTCAGATATTTGTACCTATCATGCAACAGTCCTGAGAAAAATTGGTGCGATAAGGGAAAAACAGATCACTAACAGGTTGTAATAAGAGATGGAAGCCAAATGAAAGTACCATCCGTGGACTCTGAATACGATTCTCTTGTCACAGGATGATTTTCCAAATATATGCAACAATGCCGTGCATATAAACACTGAAATCCTTTTAACAAAGAAGATATCCTAAAATAGAGGGCTTATGACCATGTCACCCGGAAACGCCGGTTCTCGTTCGATCTCTGAAGTTAAGCAACGCCGAGCCCGAACAGTACCACGAGAGATAACGACTTAGGAATACCAGTCCCTATAAGCACAATCATCCAGAACTGGAGATGTAAACGATGACACTTACATAACCGTCTCTCCGAGTAGCCTGTTACCTGGATAGAATGGTAGTAAGAAGGATCGATCTGTAGATTGTCCCACATTCCACCGTTTCGACTATTCAGACCACACACTCAGATGGTGTTAGGTACTAGGCCTAGTATGGCTGGACACTGGACATTCAATCTACTGGACGGGTGGGCCTACCGGCAACAGCTAACTAGATTAGTGAAGCGGAAATTTGTGTGGGCCGTTACTGGGAATAAATGGTGGGAAGGTCATTAGGATAGTATTCGGTCTTTCACCACTGAATAGATCCAGCGACTCGCCTTAGATAAAGCTAACAAGGTCCCGGGCGAAGGCTGGTAAGAATCCCTAGAGATAGGTTTAGCAAGGCAGGTTCTAAAGCGTGAGGCTAACAAGCGCTACCAGGGTCAGGTAGTTAGACATAAGTTAAACAAGACCTATGAATATAGGAGCAGAATTGACCAAGGGAGAGATCTGTCAAGATTAAGATCAGAACTGATAGAAAGCGTCTGTTATCGACAGATTTCTGTGAAAGGTGGTAACTGTGGCGAGCCTGGTTCGTGTGAACGAGGCTAGACTTGATTTTCTTTTTTAAGTCATCTTTGACACAATGGGACGGTTTCCTTGAAACCTAACCCTGGTTAATTTAGATAATATTTGTTTGCCCGTTTAATGTAAGGGTGGTCCCCGGCCTGTTCCCGGCATTTTCTTTTGTTGATTCATGTCGAGATGCCCAACCTACCCAGTTTGTTTTTGTCCCCATTTTTTTTATATCGAGTGGGTCAGTCTTAATAACTCCGTTATTTAATTTTTCTTATCCACTCCATCAGTGAGTGTGCTTCTTGATCTTGTCGAACGCCAGAATACAGCAGCCACTCTTATCATGTTTGTGGCACGGGCGAGTGCTACTATATATGTTATCTTTTAATTTGAATGTTTTGTTTTATTTTATTCTCGTTCTTAGGTTCCTCTACCCCCCCCCTCTTTTAATGATTCATGAAATTTTTATGTATTTTTGAAAAAAAAGGAAACAAACATTTATGAACTATATTTCCCATCATACATTTTTGTAGGTTCCCTGTAAATATGTGGTATAGTGGTGTATGTAGGATTGAATTTTGACTGATGCGTTCTTGTGGTGAATGAGGAAATTTTCTTGAATCTGATTAGCTAGGTTTAGGATAGTTACTGTTAAAAAGCATAGCCGACTTCCCCTTCGGTTCTGTATCACAATTGCTGTAATTTAACAGTAAGAAATATACATTCCTCAGCCAGTTTATAATAGAATGTTTTTTTTTGTAGGTTCCCTATGAATATGTGGTATTGTGGCGTATGTAGAAGTGAATGGTGATGGATGCGTTCTTGTGGTGAATGAACAAATTTTAATGGATGGATGCTTCTTGAATTTGATTAGCTAGATCAAGAAAAGAAAGTGTTGACCAACCATACCACAATTAACCTTCGGCGTTGTACCAAAATCGTTCAATTTAGAACAACATATCATCATTCCCCAGTCAGATTAAAATCAACAGTGAGAAATTAAACCAGCTACGCCTAAAATCTGTGAGTGACACACGAAAAATATCCGCCTACATCTTCAACCGAGTTTGTTTTTTTTGTTTTCTTCAACCGTTTCATTTTACATACCCTCAATATTATTAGTCGGTGGAGCTAGCACGGATATTCAGGAGTCTATCCCGCCAAGCATAATGGTCCTGCATCAGGGTCATTAGTTGTCATACTCTCATAACATATCTGGTCAATGTCGGCGACCAGTCCGTCTTGCTTTATAGCTAACAGTACATCATTCATGAGTTCTTGTTTTAATCACACCTGGTGTCTGGTAAAGGGTATCCTGTGTTCGTGTAAGATTGTAGAAATATAAGAGATTGGTTCATAGAGCTGGGATTTAATTGCATAATTTCTCCTGGGGATGTTAAGTATAGCTCTCACCATTCTAATGTCCGTTCGATGAAGCTTGAACTAGGGTTTTAGTTAATGTCCATCACTTTCACCATACATTAAGACCATCTTTGCAGTAGCTAAAGAGGATAACCTTTTCAGCTTGTCTGGTACATCAGATTTCCAAATTACATTCTTTTTATTCAAAGCCGACCAGGCTTTAGATATGCAGTTTTTTACATACATTTCAGTAGAATTTAATTCGCTTCCAAAATATATAAAAGATACGACTGATTCTATTGATTTACCTGAGTTAGTTTGTATTGATCGTTGCTGGTTGAATACCAATGCCTTTAAATTCACACTAAATAACTGGATAGTAATTTAAAGCACTTTTGGGAGCGTAGCAGTAAACAAATCGTTTTTTTTTTGTCGGCCATTCTAGTGTTATAACTTTTTGTTCATTAGAATTTATTTCTAGTGAAATACCGATGATATGTAATCGATGAAGGAAATGAAAATGACGTTAGGGATTTGTCAGGTAGTGAATCACTGTCAGCGTGGAATAATGGCGACTAGAAATGAGAAAATCGAGAGTCAAGTTCGAATTCCATTTGTTTTTGCTACATTCATTCATGTACAAAAAAAACTTTGGTAAGGCGTGAACCCATCGGTTAGATAGCAGGAGTAACTTGACCCTATAACTTTGGTTAGTGATCAGTCTAGAAGGAAAACTTTGAATTCAAACCAGCCTGGTGAGCGGTAGACATTGCCTGACTATTTTTTTAAGCAATTCACCCCAAGCAAAGCATAAGTTCCACAAGCACGCAAGGGGTTAGAGAGGACTGAGAACAAGAGTAAAGAGGTGCTTGCGGGAAGGATACAGAGAAGGAGGGGGAAGAAGATCAAGGTATCAGAAGATGTCACTTGACATTACACATGAATATTTGAAGATAATTACAAAAAAGGATAGTTGACGGATGGTTGATTTATAGATTTGAAGGATGGACTTAGACAAGAAAAACTTTCTGGCACGTCACAGAGAGCCAACTTTCCTTTCGGTAGATGAAGCTATTGATTCAGTGTAATTGTTCCTCCTCATGTTAGCGGGCAGCGTGAGACCAAGTAGGCGTAACGAGGCGCAATCGATGAGTTGGGCATCAGTTATTTTGATGGGATACAGGGAGGGTTCTCTGTGGTGGGTAAAGGAGAGCGGTTTCGTTTTGGAGGCATTAATCCAATAATAAACAAGCCATTTCTTTTGGAGGCATTTCGTTTTGGAGGCATTAATCCATTAATAAACAAGCCATTTCTTCATTTCAGTCAACCGTAGATTGGATGTCATTTTCGAGATCAGCGGTCAGGTTAGTTTTGTCAAAATTACCAGCTGCCTACTTGGGAACTGATGACATCGGGAAGGCCATTGTCGAAGTCACACCACTGCTTCTACGTCTGCAATACATGGAGAGCCGCTCCGACTCTAATTGGTTGGAGGACTCGAGATCGTCACCAAGAATCATTTTGCGCTTTGATACGTCAATTACTCATCCGCGTAATGAATATCGTTGCCATATCTAGTCTGATGCATCTGCTATTCACCCAGAGAAGAGATTCCATCTGGATCTTCTATTAATATTTCCATAATTTTTTTTTTTTCTGATGAGTTTTCCTCATTGCTAGCTCGGCTTCATGAATTTAAGTACGGTACTCGATGGGCAGTGAAGTCTTACCATTTTGCTGCTGAAATTTCCTAGATATTACCGGAAGTTATAAGTTTATAATTTCTTTCGCACTGCTCGCCTATGGAAATCACTTCCGGCTACATTTTCCCCTGTCAACTACAATCTTCCAAAATTTAAATACAATGTCAATCGTCATCTTCTGTATCCAAAATCTTGTCATTTTATTGTCCTTTCTACTAATTAACATTTTTTCAGTTCCCTTCACACTCAATAGACTCTTGCGTCTTAGTGGCTTTATCGCTTTGGCGTTAAATGATTAAAAAACGGAGGTATGTTAATTTTCACTGAGGTCGCTGATCATTCCGCTTTAGACGATGGAAATGAGTCGGTTGTCAGTATTCGCTAATGGCGCAACAATCTCTTCAATGTCTGTACACACATATATATTAATGGCTTTCCAGCAGGGTTAGAATTGAATAGGTTAACAGTGTAGTCATCTGGGAAGCAACCTCTTTCGAGTCGGTTCCACAAAGAAGCTGCTTGAGTGGAACTTACATCTCCCCAGGGAAATGCGAAGGGAATGGGAGCGGTTCGCTACATTGGGCGTGGCATTCCGTGAAGTTTAGAAATGGTGGAACTAAGGAATGTATTACAGTTGAACATTTGGAATTAGCGATTCACATGATTAAAATGCACAAATAGTAGATACGATGGTAACGACATTTATTGTAAATTTGATGGATGTGATGGCAGACAATGAAGTGGCCGTTGTAAAGAGCGGGAATGGGTGAATCAAGCAACATGTGACGGTACGTACAACTAAAGAAAAATCAGGTTTAAACAAAGAGGGAAAATTGATGAATGCAGCCAGAGTAAGTTTAGTGCAGAAAAATAAGGGTTTCATTCAGTTCATAATGGGATTTTTTTCTTTGATCTTTGTACAAGGTGCAAGAGCCACTCAAGTTATAGTGTTACGGACAGAGTTTACTGGAATATGTGGGGAACAGACCTAATACGAAGATGAAATTTCCTTTAAATTTGTTTTTCTAATAATCTTATATTCATCCAAATAGATAATACAAATAGATACATGTCATTCCAATATGCGTGGATAATCATACTTATTATAAAACCCAGGTTGTGTGTGTGTGTCTGCCCGTTTATATATTGGATCGGATGTCCTACATTTTTCAACCGATTTCAACAAAACTTAACAGGACTACGTAAAATTACCTTGCGGTGATTCTGACAGCGCCAAAAATTGGAAAAACACAAGGAAATCAATTTGAAAACACGATTAAGAGGCATCGCAAAAATGAAAGGGGGACAACTTATATCGAGTTATACTTAAAACCCAGGTTGTTG